TTTTTCCTATTTTTTTTAGCAAAAGAGTGGGTCATCATTCATCAACCATAATTACTTTCGCCGTGCAATCGCCGTTCCGTTTCGATAGCCTAATTAGAAAAAAATTATGGCAAAAGCAAGATATTTAACAATGAGATCTCGAGGGCGAGTGGACTACGAGCTGATAGCCCATGAGGCCGAAGGCCGAGTAGGCTATCAGCTCGTAGTCCAAGAGGCCGAAAGATCTAATTGTTTTAGTATTACCACACTAGTTGGACAAAAAATGAATGAAATATATAAATAACTAAATGTTTTTATTGCTAAATATACGCAAAAAGTTGTCGCTTTTCGTTAGTCGAGGACTATTGAAAATAGACCCCGAGTAGCGTAGCCAATCAGAACGAAGGATTTGCATAGTCCACTAGTATGGTAATACTAATAGCTGATATTAGCAGCCTTATTTGAAAAAGCTGACAAAAGCAAGAAATTAGCTGATACAAGTWCTGATTCACTTAATTTGTCATTAACGAATAAACGGTCTCACCAATTACCTTGATAGAAAACTGAATTAGTGTATTTTTGGAGAGCAAAACAAGCCARCATTATTTACCTTGCCTTAGGGGTGTTATTGACGATGGAAAGACAGAGATCACGTCATGAGTATGTCATTTAGACAATTAATAGATGGTGGTTGTTATAGGATCATAAACACCCTTAGGGTCTCTTTCTTCACAAGCACGCGGTGGTGTTGTACAAGCTCAAAGAGGAAAGAGCGGCTTTTTTAATGTTACTCAGGTCCAAATTTCCGAAAATTAGTGGGAGCCCCACAGAAAATGAACGGAAAAATACAAAAGAAACAATAAAACAAAGAACGAAACAAACCAACAAAAACAACAGAAATAAAAATGAAAATAAAAAATGCGTGTGATTTATATTTTTAAAATTGAGGAAGCATGGTGTCTAATTGTCGATTGACCTATTAACTATTAACACCCACCCTACTTCACGTATTTTGGTTCAGTGACCATGCTCAGAAGAATTGCAGGCGAGTCTCCGGGGAATCAAAGAAACATCAAGTTTATCCATTATTTCCCTAGTGTATTGTCTGCAATTCTTTTTTACATGATTGGCTATAATAATATATTAACAAATCATGTTTGCCATAATTTTCCGTCGCTATAACTATGTTGATATATTGCACGTAACCCATGTTAATTAATCACTGGAAAAAGTCGCGCGCTTTAAAGGTTGTAATTAATTTGATGTAAATATGATGTAAGTGCCCAAAATTCTGTAAATTTGATGTAAATGATTTCCATTAAATTTACAGAATTTTGGACACATACATCATATTTACATCATATTTACATCAAATTTACAACCTTAAAGCGCGCGATTTTTTTCCAGTGAATATGGCGTCGTTGAAGCATTGTTTATGGTTAACGCCGTACGAATCAAATCCAAACGGAATGGACGGGCACCTTTGGGTTTCACTCGTAGATATGTTACAGTCCTCGAGAGTGAATGCAAGAAGATTGCCTGCATGACGAGGAGGGTACGACTCTAGGAGATGGAGTGTGGAAGGGTAGTAATGGTGGCCTCACTTGGTCGGTCGTTGAGCGTGCATTGATAGATTGTCTATGGATGCGTTGCTATCATTTCACTATAACCGCTCGTCTCACTTTGATGCAAAAGCACGGTTACAATTCAGACAAACGGGATCGTGAAGGGGATTAAAAACGAAGGGAAAACAGGGCGGGCTTCGATTCGTTTTTTCCCCTCCCCCTCTTCCCAGACCTCCTCGAAGGCCTGATACACAGGTTATGAAGAACACTAAGGCTTATGTCACATGCAGTAAATCAATCCATTCGTTTTAACTGTTATTTTATTTCATTTGTATCCCTACTGTCTATTTCAACCCCCAATATCTGTCTTCTTAAAATAAACAATATAGAGATTTACTTGAAGTCCATCATATTGTACTTCTTACCCATTAACAATAACATTAAATAACATTCCTCAGTTTACCATATACAATTATTTTCTATTTACAATAAACATTTGAATTGCTATCATCAAATATTTGATGKGAATTTATATGATTTGGAAATCATTTTAAAACTTTACCTTTATAAGACTTTCTTATGGCAGCCAGTGCATATATCTTACTTTGAAAGTGCATCTGTATCACGTGATCTCAGATATGTCATTCGATTGGTTGATTGCCTTGATTAAATTATCCAATAAGAGTATATAATAAAGCTTAACTGCTCTTTACTACAACCAAACTACAGTTCGAACTCAAAATCTGGAATGACTTATCGAGTGGGCTAAACTACGATGTAAGTAGCATAATATGTGWATCTGAGGTTGTTAAACTAATAAACATTAAGGACACAAGGCTCGGCCTTGAATTTCCATACTTTAGCTAATGAGAATGTAATTGTCTCTAGAGTAATGRTTGCTAAGTGAATATAGTGCCRTTGAAACAATGGGAATAGCCAGTAAACCCAAATGGGAATCAAATCTTTTTAAAGGTAAAACTGCCCTATATCTGGCGATCCACATCTCGACATATTTCAGAGATGTACTATTTAGTAAAATAAAATAATCTACAACAATTTCATAATTACTTATTATTAATTACTTATTAATCTATTAATGACCGATTATTAAAAGGTCCTTGTACTTATATCTGCTGAAAGCGAACGATTTTCTAGTATTAGTTACGTATATTCCCAGATATTTGACCTTAAAAAACAAAGGCCAAAGAACGAAGTGGATAATATTTCCTCTATTATCATGATTTAAGTGTTGATATTGGCTCGGCTCCTGGAAGCGATAGGTTACCATATTATTTAGGAAATTTGTGCCAAAGTTTTGAATTATAAATTTATCATATCTGTTCCAGAATAAACTTCAGATTTGGTTTGCAAACAACCCTATGCCCGCATTGTTAGAAACCAAATTCTTTGAAAGAGTGATATCGCGAATTCAATTGCCCTCATGGAGATTGCCGCTGACCGGCTTGTCCGCAGTCGAGTGTTGTTTGACATGTGAACTATCCCATAATCTCTTACTGGTTTCGTATTAAGTCTTGTACTTTGTTAATCAGTGATCGAGCTTTTTGAAGGGAGGCCTTTGCATCATGACGCTCTGCCATTTCTGTTAATCAAAGAAAAAATCACTAAGTCAACTAAGTCAACTAAAATGAATGTAACATAGATACGTACCGTTGAAGAATTTAATAATATCAGTGAAGTCCATTTTGTTATCCAGAATTATGTCCCTAGAACCAACCAACCAAACATAAAGATTAAAAAGTGGTTTAATAAACAAATCAGATGGGATTTGTTGTAAATTCCCTCCTTATAACAGTAGAGACTATCCAAACTTGGTCCAAAACGTTAGGGAAGCTCATTACATAAGTGAGAAAAACAAGGCGATATCAGAGGAATGACCTCCATTTTAAATAGACCAAACTGACAGAAATCAGTACTGCCCGCCAAACGAATTTCTCACTTCTAACACATCTTTCCTCTCCTGTATGAAGAAGTCCTCCATTCCTAYTYGCCGTCAAATCGTCAAATCGTCCACATTMTACTAGCTTACACTAGTTTCATCACTTTCTAAAGGCACGTAAAATGTGATTCATTCTCTAATATGATTTCTATATAAGTCCATTTATATTGGATTGTAATTTGGACTACATACGTCTACGATATGGAAACATGCAGTTACAGCAATAATCATGGATGGTATCTATAACCTGTACTTGCAGCACTAGCAATAAGGGCAGTAACTCGCCTTCATTTCCAAATACTATCTTACCGATAAAACTGGAGAAGAGCGAGAGCGATGAACAGCACAAAGTGATCGGTACTACAGTGACGTGCAGACCATATCGTTTCCCACACCACGAACACATCTTCGTACAACAGTTCTGAAACACAAACCAAGGTGAGCAACCATGACACCCTCGGTCTTAATTCTATGAAAGTACAACCATCATCTCACCTCGTTTAAAGTCCAGCAAGAACCATCGATAGCAGAAGTAAAAGTGTGTCAGGTCGTTGTTTGACTGCAAGTGTTCAAACATTTCTGGGTCTAAAACCTGGAGGAATTATAAATGTATTGTGAATTTAACAYCGAAATCTTCAAATTTCTGAATTCATGAATCATTAATTCACGGGTGCTTGCCATGAATTTCTYTACATTAATTTTTGAAGTGAATTCAAAAGCTAAACCGCTATTGGTGTTTCATCAAATTTCTAACACAAAAAGGAAATTTTAGACAGTGCTTTCATATATTCATCAAAACACAATAGAGCGGRTATCCCATAATACTTACCTGGATGAGCGATCTCATATTAGCGAAGTGCAAATCCATGGCGTTACCATGGGGAAAGTTCTGATTCATTCTCTCCATTAAATGAACAAAACAGCTGTACGTCTTGGCCTCTGAAAACATACCAATAGAAGTGCTTAGATCGGAAATCCCAAGGTAACGCGTGCTGTGATTGGCTGACGCGCGGTCCGGTATTTCACGGACCTACCACATCACGACACAGTAACCACAAAAAAGAGACAGTAACCACAAAAAAGAGACAGTAACCACAAAAAAAATACAAGATAGTGACGTCACTAAGCATTACTTGTGACAGTCACGTGATATAGATACTAACCATCATCAAATACAACAAGAAGCGGGGCTACTAAGTCGCACATGCCCTGTACGTAACCAATATCTAACGTACACCATACGTAACTACTGATGACGTTCCGTAGCTTCTTTAAATTTTCCCGCGTAAAATAGTGATAATTTCGGTCGCATCTCTGCACGTCTTTGTCGATTCGATGGAGATTCATTCCAAAGTTTTCAAGCAGGTCCGCCTGGAATGCATTTTACGTGTTAATGGCATTTTAATATTTTATCATWATTGACTATAACTGGAAAGGGTCTCAGGTTTGTGGGCAGGTTTTAAATGTTCACATGATAATTGGAACATTGTAAATGTCTTATTAGTTGGACCCTCGAAAGGCTACATTGCTCGAATTGTTGTTAGATTGAAACCTGACAATCTAGTTGAAAAATCCAAGATGGTGACAYCATTTTTAGATTTTTCTTTGCAACAGGAAACGTGCTGTGATGAGTCAACACTATTCTGGCTAAAAAAAACAACAACATACTCACCGAGTAAGGACCGCTGGTTATACTGCCATCTTGACTACACTGTTTACATAACGAAGAGTCATCGCTTTCTTGGTCGGACATGGCTTCTTTACTGGTCTGTCGTTCAATGTATTCCTGTCTATCATCGTGTCCATTTGTAATGGTGCTATCATTACCGTTTAACTCTGATGTAAACTTCTTCCCRCAGCCTCGACATAGAATTAAGTGTGACATCTTGTCACTGYTGACRTCACAGTCACAACATCCACTCTCATCGTCACCATTRGTGATAGTCAAATCTTGACCACTCATAATTCTTTGCTTTGATTCCTCGTCAAGTCCTTCGACTGATGGCTCTTCGATGCTTCCTCTTGATTGTTCATAATTACCAAGCTTTTCTAAACCGGAGCTTATCATCTCTAGTTGCTCGTAGACTTCATCACGGCTGCCTGTGCTTCCCATCGAGACGCCGTCTACTTCATGTTCYTTCTCATTTTGTATTATATACGCCTCTACGGCTTTCCAGTCGTCTAAGATTTGTCGGTAATGTAGATTGTTTTCTTTATCTGTTTGCTCTCTTTCCTTTGGGGTTGAACCAAACTTATAATGGTGAAGTAAATATGGCCAAACCTGACAAGAAAACAGAGAATCAATNTCAAATCAGTGTGTCAATCAAATAGTGCAGGATGTCAATCAAATCAGAGTGCCAATCAAATCGTGAAGGATGTTAATCAAATCAGTGTGTCAATCAAATAGTGCAGGATGTCAATCAAATCAGAGTGCCAATCAAATCGTGAAGGATGTTAATCAAATCAGTGTGTCAATCAAATAGTGCAGGATGTTAATCAAAGCACAGTTTCAATTACATCAGAACGTCAATTAATTTTTAGATAATTGTTTACTTACTTCTTTACGAATCGAGCTGTCAATACCTCCAAAGTATGTGTATTTGTTCACTGTATCTTTATCTTTGACCTGCGGAATAGAAACAAACTGAACACTTGCTTATTGTTCAAATCTAACGACTTGAATCCTATTCTGTGAAATCGTACCGTTCCATTAGCTGAGAGGCTGTTCCATATATCTGGAGTAAGTCCTTCAGTAAAGCGATGTCCTCCTAGGTGGTCTTCAATGGTCTCATGTAAGACGAGTGACGATAGATGTGTTCTTACTGTCTTGAGATGACGTACATATGCACACCCTGACAACATAAACCAACAAATGTCAGAAATAAAGATATTATTATTATGCAGGAATATTTCGCTTCCATTTGTGCGATTTTCATCTATTAGCAGTAGAGAGTAGTACTTAATTTGTGCTTTATTGTTTGCCTAGTTTTGCTTTTTTTTCCAGGAGAAAGCATGCTATCATCATTTAGTTCGATGGGCGACAGCCCTTATGATTATAATAAAAGACTTCAGGAAGGGTGAATAGGGCTATCCACCAGAAAATTCTTATCCAGCGAATAAAATCCCGTACAAATCTTTGGAGTAGACAACTTTAATCGGTGAATCAGCTTATCCACCCTCTTACACCCAGGAATATGCATGTTTCGCGGGGCATTTATATGAATGACAAACCAAGAAGTATAGTCGGAGTATTAAACTCACATCCATTCAATCCTCGTAGTAGAATCTGCCTCTTCATGGTTTCACATGCAGTATGCAAAGATTGCCTGTGGAATCAGTAATACATTAACTTGGAAAAATCTAAAAGAAACGTTCAAAGATTGTTTCTCGTCATAATTATAAGCCATGGTAGTTATCAACGAAACCCTTATACATATAGCTAGTTTTAGAATGAGAGAGCAAAAGAAGCTGACAACTGGTGGTAAAAGAAATCTTGCTTGGAAGGTTACATCACATATCACACATGGTGTCAGAAGCGGGAWTCAATCAAAACCCAATTASAGGATGGATTGCTGTTTTAGTCGCGTGACAGCACGTACATTTCTAGTTCAGAAGTGGCAGTTTAGGGGTATTACAACTTACTTTAGGCTAAAATACTTGGTAGATATAAGTTTTCTAAAGTAGTGGAAAGTCTTGAGCTATCTTACCGTGTAGGGGGTGTGCTTGGTTTTTGAAAACGTCGACTAAAACTCGACTTCTTAGTATAGGTGTCTTGTTTACTGATTGGTATTCCAGGTTTCTTACTTGATCGTTTCTTTGGTCCAAGTTTTTCCATTTCTTTTGTAACTTTTAGTTAGAAGAAAATAAAAAAAAGAAACAAGAGAAAACATTATTTGTCAGCAACCTACAAATTAATCTATCATCGTTCAATTTACTCATAATTATATCATTCCTGAATACTAAGAAATGGTTTGTTTTGCGTTTCTTCGTCTGCTACTTAACTAAAGTGTTAACTGAAGTCACGTGATTAGAAGTCACGTGACTTACGGCAGARTTATCTTACCGATATCCTCTGGTTTGGTTCCTGAAACAAGCCTGAAAACATAGTCTTGGTTGCTGAATTCCTTGGTAGGAGAGACTGGTGCTGACATCTCCCCAGTGCTTCTCAGCCGAGGAAGATTGAGAGATCTGGTCCGAGGTGAAAAGAGTGGTGGGTCTAGTTGACCATGTGGATGAAGACCGTTTTCTAGGCAGTTGAGGAATGAGAGGAGAGAGCCTGGGGTCGGGAAGTGAATGGGAGGTCTTTGGACGCCATCTTGACCAATAAGGATAACAGCCCCAGAAACAGCTAAAAACATTTTAAAACATGACATTATCATTATATACTATTTATTCATTTGTTTTTTCATTTTCTCTCAAGTCATCACAATCATTATCACGATTATCATTATCATTACAAACTTTATCATGTTCAATTTAAAGCTTCTTTGTAGGGTAGATTCATGTCTTGTCAAGCAATGCCACCACAACTACCTTCCTCTAACTAACAAATGGAGTGCATTTGTATTTCATTAAGTTTTATCTTGAATTATTATCTTACACACTTTTTGTTGCACACAATTTTATTTTCTTGTGTATGGTGAATACCATATTTGTGTTTGCTTTTAAATTAGCTTTCAACTGTTATTTGTTAAAATGGTATTTGGTACATGTGAGAGCCATAGTTCTTGAGTTTCTCAATGACTCCCTTAAGTTTCAAAAGACAGACAACTGGCAGCCATTTTGGCTGAATGGACAACAGGAACCAGAGAGAAACTTTGTGTTGAAGCACAACAAACATGGCTGCCATCTACTGAAAACCAGCATTACTCACCCTGTTGATGACAGTGCAAATAAACCACATCACTAAGATTGACAGTGAGTGCATGATCCCAAAACAAACTCTTTTCCTTCTCATCACAGCCACTCATGAGTGTATTTGGTGTCCATTTTAATACTAAAGTCTCRTTGTTTTTATGCAGAGAAAGGTATCCTGGTATTGGGCTGTTGTTTTCATTCTAAGAAATCACAGATTAACAAGAATTATTTAAAGAACTAGATTTATAATAAATAATAATTGGGTACACAAGGGTGCACAAAATAGCTTATAGCCCTCTACAGACTAGTAGAAATACTTGATTACTGGAAGCAACATCAAACATTTCAGAGCAAACCAACGTTGGATTCAACATGTGTTGATGCTACATCAAGAAACACAATCAAGTTGCCTGGAAAAACAATTAATGATCCAAAATATATCTTGCTTAATGTGGGTTGTACACAAGCAATGCTTTCCCATATATCACTTTTCAGAGCAAGATATTTTAATAAACAGAGGGGGAAGAAAAGCAATGGACTTGGAGACAAACTCTTGGAAAAAAGGTGATAACAAATTCACATCGCAGGTAAATAAAATGGTAATCAACCTAAAAATAAAATAAGAGAAATAGATGATCAATTGTAGTCAACTTACCGGCTGTACATTAACATTGTTCTTTCCATACAAAAGTGTTGCATGRGAGTTCTGGTGAAGTGATTCAATGTGTTCTCTTGCCATTACTGGTGCAACAGCAGGATTCTCTTCTTTTTTCATTTTAATGGTGCCAATGTGTGGTCTTTGAGTGGTTGGGGATGCAGCCCCTGGATGGTAGAGATTACTGTGTATTCTATGCCTCTGTACCAGCTCATCRGCAGATGGATCAGTCCAGTAACTATCAGGTGTTTTCATTTTGGAGAAGTCTAAAGCACAAGGCCCCTCTAAAATTATCAAAATAGTGCACTTTAAGACAATGTGCATATAAATTGAAATATTCCAATATGCAAAATCCAATCAATTAACAATTAGGTTCAAAATGGCAGCACATTAAACAATTAAAATATCTTACCAAGAAGCTCCATGAAGATCTGTCCATCACCAGGATCAGCAATCAAAGCATCWTGCTCATAGAATTGACTATCAAACAAATAAGAATAATAGTTTTTTCTATGAATGTAACCCTGGAAACCACAGGCTCAAGAGGGATTGAGGAAGAGCAAAGAGATTTAACCTCTATCAAGGCTGATATGCAGAATACAAACTACAGTACATGTTAAATAACGAGAAGACCTTTCAAAAGAGGTTGCCAGAGAATAGAGATTAAAAGGCCGTTTAACTGTACATGCATCTCCATTCTAATTGCCATTGGTCATTGTCTGACAGTAGACTGCTTTGAAAGGTTATAGTGCTAGAAAGGAAATTAATCTTCCTAATTTATTTCCTAGGGTCTTTTGCCTGGAATAACCTCCTCCAAGCACTTTAACTTTCCTAATATTTTCATTTCATGTATCCCATAGTGCCATGAGGTCCTCTTATCCATGAAAAAGTCATTTAAAGGACCATGTGCATTCAAAAACATTTGCCATCATTTCTTTTGTTTTACGAATATTACCTCTTGTTGAGAGGTGCTGTAATTCTGATTTGTTCAAAATCTAAGATGGCAAACTTGAGAGAAAATCATATTTTCTTGGATGAACAKAGCCTATTAAAGTTATCCTTCAATTGAAGGTAATGATGAAATACCTTGCATTTGCCTTCAGGTCTTCTACAATCTTAACCATTAGTTTTTCAAGTATAGCTATTCTTATCCACACATACTTTCCACAATGACCAGTAACATTATACCCGCTGACTTTCTTAGCACCAGGCAAAGTACTGGCATTCCAGGAAAACTTCATTTTAGTTGTGGGGCTTTCACCTGGAAAATAGAAATAAATAATTGAATGGAAAAATGATTATAATGAACAAATGAATGAAAATCTGAGAATTCCTCTTGTTACAGCATGAGCACAAAGTACGATGACCGACACTACATCACATTGTAGCATAATTTGTTGTAAGCAATCTTAGGAATAAATGTTAATTATTTAACAAATAAATAAGGCTCAGCCGTGGTTTATACTCTGATAAACGCACACTTGGTATTTGAAACACACGAGAAAATGTCAAGAAGCACGAGCTTAAAGCGAGTGTTAGATTTTGAGCAAAACTTCAGAAAAAAATCAATTTTGATGCCTTTTTCAAAAATTGCTTGCGCACAATTGTGGTTTATACTCTCATAAAGCACACTTTTTTGGCCAATCAGAGCATGCGTTAGAATTCATCTATATAATAAAAGAGTATAGTTGTTTAGTGTTTGTTTAGCAAAGTAGCATTTTCAAGCAGAAAATGAATCTGGTTTTGAACTTAACAAATTCTCAAGAATATAGGTGCAAGTTTCTTAAAATAAACTATAAAAAGCTTAACTRTAGTTAAATAGATGAATGAATCTAAAATATGCATTAATTTAAATAAAAATCTGCAGTCATAGTGGTTGGTATTGAGCAGTTGATGCTATAATCCAGGATATCATCTATGTCATCTTTTCAGTTTACAGATTCATTTTTTGGTTAGTTTTAATGTTTTTGTCTTTTTTATAATGCTGCATTAAAGTTTGCAGAACAATTCATGATTCTATTTGCATGTTGATATCAACAGCTGATGTAATTAACTGATTTTATACATTTAAGTGAAGACAGACTGAATTTCAAATGACAGAAATTTTTCCAGCAGTGATGGTAAAATGCTTAAGAAACACCTGCCTCTCTAAAGTGTCGAATGAAAACTTCACTTTGACGTCAAGTGTAGGAACTTTAATAAGTAACAAAGATAMATGCATACAAGCTGTGGACAAGCTCTGTCTGAAAGAGTCAWCACAGCTTATTATTTACTGTTTTTCACTTCTGTAGAACTAGAATTATATTCTTATAATAGAGTGTTCCAAAATTTTAACTGCCAGTCTTATGTAAAATGACATCATTTTTGACCCTTTACAGTAAGTTATAGATTTAAGCAGCACATGCATTACCCTGGTCCCAGAGGTTTTCTTTTCTCTTCTTTTATAGATGTTTTTTATCGTATTTTTGTCTTTAATTTTTTTTTATAAGTTTACTTATTTTTGTCTTTGTTTTTTAAATTTAACGATGTTTTTTATCATATTTTTGTCTAAAAAACAAAGACAAAAATACGATAAAAAACATCTTATAAAAGAAGAGAAAAGAAAACCTCTGGGACCAGGGTACACATGCATTTTCACAGTTAAAGTAATGCTCTAGCTCTATTTGCCAAAAACATTTGTCCATCATTGCATTTTGTGGCATACATGATCACAAAAGGTTTACACAGTGGGAGAGATGATGGCTTTGAATACTGTCTACCATGACAGCAAAAATCCATGTGATTTTAACCTCAAAATTGTGTGAGGAAACATTATTGCAAAATAATACTGTCTTTCAATATTGGGGTTTATGGTACATAATTTAAGTCAATGTATGTTGGGTGTTTTTTTTTCTTCTTTAAGTATAATTTACAGTAATTATGTCATTTTATGTATTATGAAAGCTGTAACCAAGCATTATGAAATACATATACAAATATATTAAAAATGATATAAAAAATGAATATGTTTTCTTAATTTTAACTTTTCTCTCAATTCGAGAAGCAAATGAACTTCTTGTTTAAAGATTAGTTATTTCTCAAGCAGACAGGTCTAACAGTACATTTAGAAAATACACAATGATGTAAAACAGTGATATTGTGTTTGCTTTTTTTCTCAAAAATAGATTGAAGAATAAATTTGAAACAAAATCTGAATGTGTTGTTTGCTTGTAAATTTTGAATACACTGTAATTTCTTAAATAACATCTGTCTGACCAATGTGATCCTAATTGATTGTGCATTCAACACAAAGTCTCTCAGAGCATAGAAAAACACAGTCTTTTAAATAACCATTGCAAATTGAATAATTTTATGTTAATTGTGCATATTTACAAAATTATATTCTGAAGTTATTTGTCATCACATCTTTTGTGGTTATCATATAATATTATTTTCATTAAAAGTTGAGTCAAAAAGTATTTTAAATCCTGTAAAATTAATTATTTCATCTCTAAATGAATGAAGACAAAAGCTTGTCTTTTTACCTTGAAGCAATCAAGATTTTATCAAACAAAAATGTAGATGTCTTTCACATCAAATCTTATTTACATTACTTTTTTCAATGAAAATTTCATCTACATTTGAGAAACTTGTACTTTTGATGTTAGACAGTTTGTCAAGTGAATCATGAAAGAGCAGGAGTTATATACATGATGAATATATTAAGGAACTTTCTTTTAACAAACAAGATAGCTATTTTTGATTTCACTAATGAAACCGCTTACATTATGACAAAAACAATTACCTGGGTATGTTTKAAGGCAAAACAACTTACAACAGCCAAACAAATAATCAAATATTTAATAATAAATTATCAATATTTTGTAGCTTTTATGAGTTTATTTTTTTTTACTTCAGACCAACTGAATCAACAAATAAATTTCCAATACTGACATCAATACACATGGTTAACATTAAAATAACATGCCAAATAATATGACAGTTGCATTGATGGGTTTATTATTTTCTAGACAACTTGAGTGACTTAAAACTTATCTTTTTTGAACTGCTTAATGCTCACAAGAGTGAATGACGTTATTCAAATTTAATTGCCGGTCTTATGACATCAAAAAATAAATTTTCGTCAGCCCTGTGCATTACTTAAGTTATATAGATTGCATAGTAATGCACATTCTCACAGTTAAATTTAATGTTGAAGCGCACAATTGTGGTTTA